ATTTTACACTCTGTGGGTCTAAATATTAATCAGAGGACAACGTAATATTTAATAGTTTGTGTTAAAAAGCAGACTTTATAAGATTATTTTAATTTTAAACTGTTACATTATGTTCTGCTCAGATCACATTGAGCTAAATAAGATCAAATCTGCTGACTTGTGTTGTAAAATGAGACGTTTTCCTGTTTATCTTCTGTTAATAAATCCATAACACAAACAGCTTTTCTGACATTATTTAAAACATTAGATAGATTATATAAACAGTAAAATATTAATATATTTATACATCCTCAGTCCTTTTTTTCTGATCTGTTGTCAACATGTACAGTAATGGGAAATCCAGAGTTTTGCCCGTTTAGCATTAGCCGTTAGCTTCTCCAACAGATCACATGGTAACGTGGTTTTTGCACACTCCAGCTGTTCTATAGAACCTCCTTGTAAAAACACTAAAAAGTACAAACTTAGTTAGTTTATTTCAAACATGTATACAAAACAAAACAAAAAATGATCAAAAGTGATAAAATTAACATTTTTGAAAAGGAATGGGTAGAAGTAAAAAACTTATTTAATCCCACTCTTCTCCAAAGCTTATTAAAAAATAAAAGTAAATTCTTCTTTTTACTTATTGTAAGTCACAATTTAATAATTAAATATCTGAAGCAACAATCTGTTTACTTTCAAATTGATAAAATAGCAGAATTTATTCACAAACGTACATCTAGAAAGAAGTCAGGGATTGGTGCAGACTGAATCCAACAGGGTTGTTTGTGTTACAGGAGGATCACTGAGCTGAACTCGAAGCTTCGATCGGCGGAGGAGAGGAGTCGGACGCAGAGGGAGGAGCTGAGAGATCAGCTGCATCACCTCAGCGATGAGAATGCCGCCATCAAGCTGGAAAACCAAAAACTCAAGGTACGCTCAGGAAAAAAAATCTGTTTCGTTAATTAGAAACAAATTCTCTCGTCACGCAGGAAAATACGTTGTTTTTGCTGTTTATGTTTTAGAAATATTTTCCTTTGAGCCGTTTTTCTGATATTTAGAGCGAGCTGACGTCGTCTGAGGAGAAGTTCCGAGGACTTCACGCTGAAGCTCGTCACCTGAAATCCTCAATCAGGAAGTCTGAAAACCTGCTGGAGAAGTACAAGAAGAAGGTTTGATCACTCAGCAGCTCCACAAAAGCAACGTAGACGGAATGTTCTTTTGGTTTGACTCTTTTTTTTTTTTTTACCTGTGCAGGTGCAGCAGGCTCGCTCAGAATCAGACGAGTGCGGCCTGAAGCTGGAGGCGACGCAGAAGGAGGCGCGGAGGTTGAGGGCGAGCATGGAGGAGGAGAAGGAGCAGGTGAGACGGGAGCTGTCGACCCGACTCAGAGAGCTGGAGGCGCTGCCGGACCGACTGAGGAGGACCGAGCAGCTGCTCCGAGATGCCCGGCAGGAGGCCGACGCCCACCAGAGGAGACACCTGGAGAATGGCGCCGCTCTGTCGGAGCTCAGGCACAAGGTGTGGACCGGTCTGCTGCAGGCTTTCAGATTTCACTTTCAGACTGGAGAAACTTCAGCTGAAGAAGCTGAAAAGATTTAACAGCAAAACTCTTAATGCAAGTTACATTTGAACAGCTGACTATTGCTGAAATTGAAAAATAAGTAGAAACATAGCAAGAAAGAGTAAATAAAACCTGAGGAGTGAAAAGGTATCTAAAATAAGCTAAACGTAAAAGTAATATACAGGGAAATGAGAGTGAGAATTTTTAAAGAAAACTGAAAGGAGGCTCTTGCAATTTATTTTGAAATAACTGAAAAAGCTGAAACTAGCCTTAAATGACTGAAAAGTTACTAAAATAAGCAAACAAAACCCTAAAAGATGAAACGAGAGTGAATTTCTTCTATTTAGCAAAAAACAAAAGAAGTATTTGCAAATTGTTTGGAAATAAGTGAAAAAGCTTAAAGTAGCCTAAAATAGCTAAAGGATAGTAGCTGAACTTAACAAAAAGAAAGAGAACGAGCACATGATTGCTGAGTTAAGCAGTAAAAAGCTGAAATTATCACAAAATAGGTGAATATAAATGAAATTGGCTAAAATACAGGTCTCGCTTGTAAATGAGACAATGAATCTAAATAATTTTTTAATATATAAATAAAGGATTAAAAAGTAGCTAAAAAGACAAAAAACAGCTTAATTTAGCAAAAAACAGCTGAAAAAGTATAAAAAGTTAGCAGAAAATGTTAGAATGATGGCTAAAAAAATTGAATAAAAGCTATTAGAAGTCAGTGGAATCTGATATCAGCCCAAAGAATATTTAAAAAGCAGAACTGAAACTAAAGTTTAAATGTATAGTAAATAATTATGAACATTTAGAAAGGTTTTAAGGATGTTAAAGACAGCTTTGTTCGTTTTAATTGAGGAAAAAAGGCAGAAAAAGCTTAATATCTCAAAAAGTATAAACATCTGACGAAGCGTGTGTCATAGCTGGGATGTCCTGAAGGAGCCGAACGTTTTGATGGACAAATTGTTTAAAAAGCACAAAACCTGCACCAGATATGTGGCAGAAAACTGTATTAAAAATGATCTCAGTGGAGTGAATGTTTTATAAGCTTTACACAAGCAGCCGTCTGCCTCGACCGGACACAGACTGACTGATCCAGGTGAGGTTTTTCTGGGAAGACAGACAGAAAAAACAGGTTAATGAGTGTGATCATTCCAGGATGAAGTCATGTGTTTGAGTTTCTCCACAGGTGGAGCAGCAAGGTGCTCAGCTGGAAACATTTCAGCAGAGGAACCTGCTGCTGCAGGAAGAAAACAACGTCTTGATGGAGAAAATCAACAACTTGGAGAGGTTAGGATTTTATTCTCCTCAATTAAACGTTTTTTTTTTCAGAATAAATTGACATTTTCAGTACAAATGGATGAGGGGTGACTATAAGGTTCCACGGTTGGCGAGACGCTTAGATAAAAACGATGGTAACGTCCAGACATTTTGTTTGTTGATTGCAGGAAGCTGGAGGACGTAAGTTTAGAAAACAAAGAACTGTCCCAGACCCTGACCTCCAAGGAAGGAAGCGTCCGCAGCCTTCAGCAGCAGCTGGAGGAGAAAACGGCAGAGTGCAGCGTCCTGTCCCGACAGCTGAAGCAAACTCTGGACGACGCTCAGAGACAGGTGTGACACCGAGGGCTGGGACACGTCTCCTAACAGACGTCTTTAACCCAGTCGGTCCTCCTCTCTGCCCGCAGGTGGACGACAGCATTCACAGGGTTCTGGTCAAAGAGAGGACGTCGCAGTCCAAAGCTTTAGAGCTGCAGAGCCAGCTGAGCCGGGCCAAAACAGAACTGAGTCAACTGCAGAGGAACAAGGACGAGGTGGGCCTTCCCTGTGAAACGCTCGTGTCGAGTTCTGGTTGGATTAGATTAATAAAACCCGCTTGTTGTTTTAGATGGAGCGTCGGTTTCAGACTCAGCTGCAGAACCTGAAGCAGAGACTGGAGCAGTCCGATTCTACAAACCGCAGCCTCCAGAACTACGTTCAGTTCCTCAAATCCTCTTACGGAAACGTTTTTGGTGAATCTTTTCTCACAAGCTGACTGGCTTTAAGTCACCGCAGTAGATGAAGGCTTTGACTTGAGATAAAAAAAAGTACAAAATTCAATCAAATGTTTTGATTCCCTGAAATTAATTTTTACTGTTTTGTATAAAAAAACTAAAACAACTCATGCCATAATCTTTGATGCAGTTTTTTAAAGATTATATTAAAGGATTAACAATGAAATAATTATTAAATGAGCTGAATGTTTGAATACTTTTTAGCAAATATAAGGTGCTAAATGTAAATGGCAAATAGACTGAATTCATTCACCTGAGCTAAACAA